GAAGCTCGGCGGCGCCACCAGGCATCATGACTTGTGATATTTTCGGCACCGGACAAACGAACATTTTAGCTCTACGTTATTTATTCCGAAAAACTTATAAACCAGCCTACAGTAGCGCCACACTCAAGTCACTGAAATCAACACTCAGCTGAACACTACACTCGACCAAATTACTGAAAAAGTTATTGACGTGATCACACACATTCCACTGAAGGATTTGATGATTTGATTCCCTTGAAACGTGTGAGAGTTGTAGTGTAAGTGAACTACAGTCGACTCCCGATAACTCGAGCCCTCGCTAACTCGAACCTCGCGCTAACTCGAACCAAAATCCCCTGGATTTCCGTCATATATTCACTGTAATTTTACCCTCGGTAACTCGAACCCTCGATAACTCGAACTCCCGCTAACTCGAACCAATTTGCGTTTCCCCTCAGGTCATTTTCTATATAATTTTACCCTCGATAACTCGAACCATGTTTTGAGCCCTTAAAAAGTCGGGAAAAAAGCCGTCTACTGGCGTTCGAAACATTGAATTTTGGATTTCCTATTGACGTATTGTAGGAGTATAGTTTACTAGTGGAGGCTGATGTTGATTGTCACAGGCTAACGTGAAGCAGCTTTTCTTCTCAAAACAGTAAAATGCATCCTCTATTTAGGCTATATTTCGTTACGTTAGGTTCTGATTAATAATCTAGAAGTATCTTTTATTTTCACTTGACATTTCTACAATTAGATGTGATTAAGATGTTCACTGTGCATTAAAAACTGTTTTTTACCCTACTCTCGGCTATTTTCTTCGAACTCCCGACAACTCGAACTCCCGATAACTCGAACCTTTTTTCGATTTCCCTTGAAGGTTCGAGTTACCGGGAGTCGACTGTAGTTCAAACACAATTCATTGTGTTCCAGCGTTCAGCACAAAAAATGTGGTCTCGGGTCTTTAATATCAACGCAAGTTAAGAAGACTTGTCAGTAACGGTTTCATTTTAGTCCTGACTAACAAAAGAAAAAGAAACCCGGGTTAAGCGCTAATCTAGTCTGGCTACACGACCGTTTTTGACGCTAAGAACGGCTGCGTAGCAGACCATCGCTAATCCGGCCTTCGAACAACTGCGTCCTGCAGAACATCTATTGCACGTTGTATATATTTACACGCCCGACGCACTCTGGTCAGTTTACTGTCTCCTCGAATTACTCTTAGTTTACAAATGTCTAAATGGCTTGGCACCAACTTACCTATCCGAACTTTTACGCTACACTAATGGTCCACGATTACTTCGTTCTAGTTCCCAGAATTTTCTAGCCGTGCCTAGGACTAGGTTAAAGACGTATGGTGATAGGGCTTTTTCCGCANTTACTCTTAGTTTACAAATGTCTAAATGGCTTGGCACCAACTTACCTATCCGAACTTTTACGCTACACTAATGGTCCACGATTACTTCGTTCTAGTTCCCAGAATTTTCTAGCCGTGCCTAGGACTAGGTTAAAGACGTATGGTGATAGGGCTTTTTCCGCAGCTGCTCCTAGGTTATGGAACCTATTGCCCCCTGAACTCAGGAGTGTTACATCTGTCGACCAGTTCAGGACGCAGTTGAAGACATACTTATTTAAATTAGCCTACGATGTTTGATTTTAGTAGTTTTATTTATTTTTTATTTTATCTTATAATAGTTCTTAACTCTAGTTTCTTACCACATTATTGTACAGCGCTTCGAGCAATTAGTGGATACCGCGCTATTTAAGTGTGTCTTATTATTATTATTATTATTATTATTATTATTATTATTATTATTATTATTATTATTATTATTATTACAAGGACTTGAGACGAACTATACGATGTCACAAGCCTTCAAAACCTTTTCATAATGAAACACAGTTTAACTAGAGGTTTCGCTATACGTAATTCTTACGTTCAAAATATGCCATAATCATATTTATCTATCATAGGAAACATCCACTCTTCCTCCTTAGCTGCTACCTGTACGCCTAACAAACATATCGAACGCAGTCTCCTAAGCTCCGATTACTCCTAGTTTTAGCTTTTAATTGTAACTTAAAGCAAAGCGCTTTTGAACATCTTATAGTTTTAGCGCTATACAAATTCTTTAAAATTAAATTAAATTAAATCAAATTTATTTATTTATTTATTCATTTATTTATTTATTCATTTATTTATTTATTTTCTAACAGTAAAACTATCAAGAACTTCAAGCTAAGTAATATAATAGGCAGCACAGTAGATCCCAGGCCCCAAGACGACGTCCTTCAGAAAAACGTAACAGTTATATTCCGTTATGAAAAGGTATGAGCGGCCCTTGATTGTAAGTTAATTTATGTGATCAAAAACACTGCCTAGTATGAAAATAAACATGCTACCTCCTCTAGCTTAGGAAGGATTGATTTTATGATTGCTTGTGCTGTTTTAGGATATTCTTGATATTTTTTCTTCATTGCCCTGCAACACTTTGAAATCAAAGAAAACTCACTGACCGATAGTCGCTTAAAAAAGCGGAACTCGCCACGATATAATCTGTAAAACGTTGTAAAATTATGCCACTTACTTTCTTATCTGTTCTGATTGTCCGTAGTACCAGGTATAAAAACATTTACGACGCCGACGAGTCATTCACCTTTCCTTTATTTTGTTAGTGTTAATTGTCTTACCTGAAACTTTAAATCTCTTTGTTAAGGGATTAGAGGCGCATTGTGTCTTCTGGGATTTTTCTACCAAGTAAGTGTGACAGAATTTTTCAGTAAGCAATTAAGGTGACTCGACCCAGTTTTTTGGGGGGGTACCATCCTACTTTGAAGCTCTCTGGTAACCCCACCTTTACGTTTATCGTAAGTGTAACACATAGAATGGATAACATATAGATCAATCTACAATATAACATAAAATTTTTGGCGATCGGAGTAAATGTCACGTGGTTATAATGCCACGCCCCTTTGAGGTCTGAGTCGAAAATCTGCTGTTGCCGGCATTTTTTCGTGAAAATCTCTCGGCTACACATAGTGCGCATTAGTGCCTTGCGCTGAACAGAGTTTCACCAAAATCGCAAAGACCCAATTCGAGAAATTCAGCGGTTTCCAAATTTAGGTCATAATTTATGCGAAAATGATAAGCAAACTTTACACGGATTATATCTAATAAACTATGAGATTCATCTCTTTATTTTGGGCATCGTTATAACAGATGGGTCCTTGCAAGTCAGCAAAACGCTTTAGGGCCTTGTAAATGCGCGCGATTTCGAGCAAAGCAAACATATAGAAATTATAGTTTTCGCTATTTGTTGACGTTTGTCAGCGTTTAAGAGTCCTTCTCACGAAAAAAGCATTTTCTTAAAAATTCGTAGTTTTTTTTCCTTCAAATTTTTTCAGGGCCACAATTGATTAACTAACTACCCGGACTCTGAATTTCATGGTCATTGAAAAACTGTGACATTATCTTCTATAAGCCCAAACTTGAGTAAACATTGAAGATTTTTAGCGTTTTGGCTGAGTTTGTGCTTTGGGAGTTGTCTATTGTTTCTAGTCTGTCATTATACAGCATTCTTGTTCAGCACGCGTGCAATGACCGCGCTTGGCTGACTTCCGAATGCTCACCGAGATATAATAATTTTGGTACAGTGAGACAGGCCATCGCGTGATACATAGAGGTTTAAGTCACAATTTTTAATCAATTCTCGTGCTTCTTGTGCCTTTGCAAAAAAATCAAGAAGTGCTACACACTAAATCTACTTACTATTAAAAAAATATCATTTTTTCATAGGTTTAATGCAAGCCAATAATTAAACCAACTCGTGACGGGAATATCTCGGTGAGCATTCGGAAGTCAGCCAAGCGTGGTCATTGCACGCGTGCTGAACAAGAATGCTGTATAATGACAGACTAGAAACAATAGACAACTCCCAAAGCACAAACTCAGCCAAAACGCTAAAAATCTTCAATGTTTACTCAAGTTTGGGCTTATAGAAGATAATGTCACAGTTTTTCAATGACCATGAAATTCAGAGTCCGGGTAGTTAGTTAATCAATTGTGGCCCTGAAAAAATTTGAAGGAAAAAAAACTACGAATTTTTAAGAAAATGCTTTTTTCGTGAGAAAGACTCTTAAACGCTGACAAACGTCAACAAATAGCGAAAACTATAATTTCTATGTGTTTGCTTTGCTCGAAATCGCGCGCATTTACAAGGCCCTAAAGCGTTTTGCTGACTTGCAAGGACCCATCTGTCATAACGATGCCCAAAATAAAGGGAAAAGTCTCATAGTTTTTTAGATATAATCCGTGTAAAGTTTGCTTATCATTTTCGCATAAATTATAACCTAAATTTGGAAACCGCTGAATTTCTCGAATTGGGTCTTTGCGATTTTGGTGAAACTCTGTTCAGCGCAAGGCACTAATGCGCGCTATGTGTAGCCGAGAGATTTTCACGAAAAATGCAGGCAACAGCAGATTTTCGACTCAGACCTCAAAAGGGGCGTGGCATTGTAACCATGTGACATTTACTCCGATCGCCAAAAATTTTATGTTATATTGTAGATTGATCTATATGTTATCCATTCTATGTGTTAGACTTACGATAAAAGTACAGGTGGGGATACCAGAGAGCTTCAAAGTAGGATAGTACCCCCCAAAAAAACTGGGTCGAGTCACCTTAAAAGGACTTACCAACTTCAGGGGTTACTAGTATGAGTTGATTCATAGTTTTTTGTAGAGTAGACAAGAAATATCCCGCTATCGACTAGGGTCGACAAAATGCTGCCCTTTAATTGGCCTTGCCCTTTAAGGAAATTTAAAGACCTTAAAGACCTTAAAAGCAGAGTCATACTCAGGAACTATATAGATGGTTTTCATGCAATCTCGGGAGACACAAATAATAATGTTGAAATGAACAGATGCTGGTGGACAAACAAAACGAGTTAATGAGCGATCTTTTGTTTACCGTCCACCAGCATGGCGGCGATGACGTAACGCGAAAACCACCTATTATTACAGATCAAATTTCAATGGTTCTTGGTCAAACAAAGGATGTTCAATGGTCAATAGAACCAAGACGGAAATCACATGCACTTGTAACCACCTCACAAACTTTGCTGTTCTTATGCACGTTGGAGCAGACAATGAGGTTAGTTGGAGCAGCTTTTTGGCTTGTTTTCCGCATGTCCCAATACAATAACAACCCGCGAGTAAGAACCTAGATTTTAAAAACCGTTTAGGCTACAATTTGCTAGTTAAGCCACCTCAACACAAGCACATGTTTAGCCTAAAATGTGAAACAGGTTCTATGAAAAATTCTCCCAGTTTCCAAATAATGCTTTATTGTTGTTGCGTTTCCATGTTTGATATACCGCAGGATATATCGCTCCAGCTCAGGATCAGATGTAGTACCTGCGATTTATAGCTATACTCTCTCTGACTTATGGCAGATTTCCAGAGAGATAGATGTGAAAATATAGATATTTTCCATAAATTTCAAAAATTTCCATCTATAGTTGAGCTATAACAAACTGTTATTTAAACGAGATTGTTGCATAAGAGTGTAATTAACTGTTGGAGCTGAGACAAGGCATTTCAATACATGTAAAATTACATTAAAATTCATGTTGTCACTGCTTCAGTTTTTCTTCTTAAATTGATTTTTACATAAATTTTAATTTGATATTCAGATTTGATTTAAAGAATAAACTGAATGCCTCTAAATATTCAATGTATTTTTTCTTCAGAAAATAAGAACTTATTCAAGAACCTCAAATAGCCTAAATTTGTACTAATTATACCATTTATGTAAGAACCTGTTTGGGCTAAATTGGGAAAATGCAGGCTCTTACTCGCGGTTTTTTACTGTAGCAATTGAATGTTAAAATAAATAAGGGGAGCATCTACAATCGTGGCGCCATTAACCCTTTTTCACATTGTCATTTATAGTTTTAGTGACTCGAGTAATAAGGAGACTATGCCTATTTTCGCCAGTGAGTGTACTTCTTTACAAAATAATAAGGGGCCCTGACTCTTTCCAATATTTGTCTTTATTGATTTGGCGTATTTGCAAACAGTTTTTAAACTATCTTTCCATCAGGTTCCAGCAGATCATAAGGTGGCATTGAAAGTCATTACTTACGTTGGGTGTGCTCTGTCGCTTATCGGAGAAGCACTCACCGCTGTTGCATATTGCGTCCTCATGTGAGTTACAAATAATATACCGTCATAAAAGAGCTCAGACATTTAGATTTGGTTTTTGTGATATCCGAAATGATCAAGGTCGAGGTAAGCGTTTTTAACTCGCGCATCTTGGTTTAAAATGCACCAAGTATAAGCTGGGGAAGAATGAAACCAAGATTGTCGCCTGCAACATGTAAGCAGTAAGCGTTTGAACAGACTACACGTTCAACATAAAAACATGGGGCTGTAAGAAATTTATAGTCCAACGAGCGCTTTAAACATAGCATATTAAGACGTGCTTTGTTTCTAAACTATTTGCATTGGATCTTAATACTTAGTGAATGCAAAATTATGACAATAACAAAACCACAAGGGAGGGGAACGGGGAGTCAGCCGCCCTCTTCACAACCCCTCGAAGCGCAATTAGGCTCTGGATTAGTTTATCAGACGTTCATTTATGATGTTTAAATTAAGAAGAAGCAGAAGCACCTTAAGATGGGATTTTCCCGCTTTGAAAAAAATAACATGTCAACGGTGTTCAATTATTTTTTGCCTCGTTCAGGGATTTGAAAGAAAACCAAACTCAAATCCGCTTTAACCTTGTGGTTGCCATAGCGATAGCACAAATTACGTTTCTTGCTGGAATTGATGCTACAGAAGTTAAGGTAAGCTAAGGATCTAAGCTAATCTAAATGAGACGAATAAATAATGAGCATTTTGTTGGCTTGGATGATAAATTGATCTCCAAAACTTTTAAAACGAAAATCAAAAATGAAAGACTTTTGGATGTAAAAAAACTTGAGTTTTGAATAACTTAATATCATTAGATGGCATTCCCATGAGCTGGATGTCACGCAAAGGTACTAAAAAAGATGTGGCTCAGTGGTCGATTGCTCCTTATTTCTCTTTAGTATCTTTGGTTTGCTTGCATTGCATCAAGAGAGTTTTTTTTTTTTTTTATCATTATTATTTTATTTTTTACTTTTAATCAGTAATTTTTTGTGAGGGGAGGTTGGTAAAAAGCTTGCCGTTATGGGCAATGTGATGACGGTGAATCCCGTTTCTTTATAGGAACTGTGTGTGTTTGTGGCAGCCATGATTCATTACTTCTATCTGGTTGGATTTGCTTGGATGTTATTTGAGGGTGTTTATCTGTATCTGATGGTTGTCAAAGTGTTCAATACGGTCATTAGATTGCGCTTGTTCTATGGAGTGGCTTGGGGTAAGTATTAAAGCAAAAGCCTTCTACAGAAAATGGCCCGTTGGTAGATCTAGACAAGAGGGAGTGATCATGACTTGTCAGTCCCTTCCGGGATCAAAACCATTTTCGTTAATTGATTCCTGGTTTATACTACTTCTTTCCTTACGTACTTACAAGGACTTGCAATTGAGACTTGCTATTCAGAGGAATTTGTACCACACCACAGTTCTCATAAGAGTGCTACGCTGACGTAGCTGACGTAACCCAACGAAGTCTAAATTGTCATTTTTCTCTTTTTCGTTTTCAATCAAACCTTAGGCGTCTCCCTTTTGATTGTGGTTTTATCGATCGTGATTGCTTCCGTTCAAGATGGCGGAATAGAAAGCTATGTTCAAGATCATTTGTAAGTAAACAAGCAAGATCTTAATACTACCGAACAATACGAAGCAAGAAAAACTTGGAGGTTTCAAGAATCTGTTTATTTTTTTATTACCATTTATTTATTTCTTTCTTACAAAGTTGCTTATGAAATTTGCCCAAACTGCCTTTTTCGGAGGAATTATTATAGGCACGACAGTACAATTGTACTTTTTCCCCAACATTTCTAAAAAAATTTTAACCCTAAAGTTCTAGCAAGCAATCCTTTCTTAGTAACACCTTGATTTGATTTACTTTTTTCAGTTGCTGGGTTTCCTTCAAAAATAACCTTATCTGGACGTTTGTTGCGCCTGTTCTCTTAGTTTGCACGGTAAGTAAGAAAGTGAAAATGTTACATAAGTGAATAAGGCTGTGACGTAATACAACGTGTGATATCTTTGAGGTGTCTCATTCGTCCTAGCGTTGATCTATTATTTATCGATTATCTTTTATGTTTTCATTTATTTATTTATTGAAAATGAATATTTTCAAGATCTGAGAGAAAGAAAGAAACAGGGTCCAAGGTTTCTGTCATCAAAAGATATCTTATTCTCATACATTGTTTCCACGCAGATAAACTCAGTTTTACTTGCTCGAGTGGTTCGTGAGATTCTAAGAATGCAAGCCGACAAAACATCTCATCTGGAAAGAGTTCGACAAGGAGTTAAAACTTGCGTAGTTTTGTTTCCTCTTCTGGGACTGACCTGGGTGTTTGGTGTTCTAAGTGTCACAGATGATGGACTTGTATTTCAGTACATCTTTACCATTTTCAACTCATTGCAGGTAATAGAAAATCCAACATGTTAACTTTTTGAGTAGTTTGAGGAAACAGCCGACATTTCGCAGGGGTACTCAACGAGAATATAGTTGAAACCCACTTAAACATAGCATTGTTGAACATATTTTTGTATTTAAACGGTAGATATAGGCATATTTTTATCCCCTAAAAAATTTTCATCTGTTCGGCTTTCCTAGCTGAAAGTCTAGTGATCCGAAAATTATAGGGATGAAAACTTACCTTTTCGAAAATTTCGGCAAGAAAAAGGGCTCCCGAAAATCTTAGATGACCTTTTTAGGGTAAAAATCCGTTAAAAATGGGCAATTATACCACTTTTTAGATGTTCGAAAATCCTAGGAGAGGCAGGCAAGCAAGAAATTTTACAAAAAATGTTCCGAAAATTCTAGATCTCAAATCGTCTTCCGAACAGATATTTTCCGAAAATTGGCGTTGGGTGCCCTGATTTCGCGACGCCACCACTGGTTTCCCCAAGAAATGACGTAGGGCGGAGAACATCCATACTGACGACGGGTAACAACCCAGATCTGGGAAGTGCTTCTTATTGGATGAAGCAGATTTTAACCAATCAGAAGCACTACCCAGATCTAGGTAGTGACGCGTAATCAGTATGGAATTGCTCCGCTCGTTTCTCCAACGTCATTACGTGGGGAAACTAGTGGTGGTGTCACACAATGTCAGCTGTTTTCTCAGGCTAACTGACAGCGAGTAAATATTCTTTTATCAAAGTACTTAGCTCGGTGACTAAAAAAGTCGTTTTAATTCACTAATTCGTTCATTTATTTATTCATATAATTTTGCCACACAAGCATTCGAAGTTTACTCCAGGCTTTGACAGTAGTGTCAAGGATTGTAGCGATCGAGAAAATTAACATGAACATAGAATAGTAGAGATGGTGGGCGGTACCTGATACCATGTACTGCGATTAACCATTGACTACAAATTTTGCCCTCATTTCTTCTTTTCTCTCATCCTTATGTATGAACTTAACTTTCTTTTTTTTTGGACGATACACACATTTTTAGGGTTTGTTCATCTTCATCCTTCACGTTTTGAGAAACAGCGACGTACGTGCAGCATACTCTAGAAAGATGCAGAAGAGGAATGCGGCAAAAAGCGTGAAAAACTCTCAAGAAAACCGCAATACAATCGGATTGTGGTCAAACAAAGTGACGAATGAACCAAGTTGTACAAAAGAACCTAGCAGTGCCTCTCTAAGATCATCGGTTGGAGTAAAAAGCAAGATTGACAATGCCCTGCACGAGGAAAGAACCATGACTCCTGTTGACACGTGAGTGTCACGTAGACTGCACGTGAACTTATTTTAGTAGCCACTGTTAGAAAATAGAGTATTGGCAAGTTTTCATTACATGTTTAAGTTTAATTCTTATAGGAAAGAGCATAAAAATCCTACAAAGAAATATTACTTCTGTTGACACGTGACTGTCACGTAGACTGCACGTGAATTTGTTTTAGTAGTAGAGTATTGGCAAGTTTTCATTATACGTTTAATTC